GCGCGCAGGCTTCGGGCGTCCATGGAAATTTGTTCCTCTTCCGATTCTTGCTTTGAGTGCAGGGCCGCGCTGCACCGCGAGCCCGCTCGCTCCCGCGAGGGCATCCTCTTGCTGGTGGGCGGCTGGAAGAAGATCGTGCACTTCCCCAAACGTTGTCGCAATGTGCGCTGCGGCCGCAAGTACCGCGCTGTCTGGTGCAACTACATCCAGATTGGGACGTCACGGCACTGGCGCTGCCACGATGGCGACCCGTTGTACTTCTTTTTCAACTCCACCATTGGGTTTTCTTTCGAATGGCTACGGCAGTTTCATTGCCGCCTTGCCTACCAGCACGTCAGCTTCATGTCGGAGGCCCAAGTGCACCTCCGGACTGCAAGAATGCGCGGCGTGGCTTCCCTTGTCCCGACCCGGTCAGATGACTACATGGCAAAAGTGTGGATTCTCTGGCGGGTACTGGTCCGTGCCCACGCCCGCGCCGTTCAGTCGGGCGCCGATCCAGTGGACTCTGTCGGATCGATTGATCTTGCAGTACCTGCGCCTGGTATCTTGCGCGGGATCGGCCCATGGTACCACGGCGCAATGGAGGCCCAAAGGGCGAGGCAATTTCACGCTGGTGAGAAGGACGCCACATTATTAGTCATGGATGGGAACCAGAAGCTCCGTCGCCGCGTCTGCGGTTATCCGTATTGCGAGCGTGTCCATTCGAAATCGCTGGGCCTTGGAATGTGGCGCTGTTGTTCCGAGACCCCGGCGCAGCAGCCGGGGAAGACGAAACGCTCTGGCGCGCGTGGCAGCGACGCCGCTGAGGGCGGCGAACCGCCGCCGCCGCATGGCGGCGACGCCGTTGAAGACGGCGAACCGCTGCTCAAGGCGCGCCGGCAAGTTGCCCGTTGCCCCGCTCATGCATCGGCAACGGGCCTGCCTGGCCCGCGGGCGAGGTCCTACGATATCCTCTCGCATCGGCAGAAAAGCGCCCTCGCCGACTCGGGCAGGCCAGTCTTCGAGCTGGAGGTCCGCTACAAGTTCAACGGGGCGTGGCTGCCAGCGGACCAGCTCAACGCTGCCGCCGTTCACGCTTACCTGTCCACGATTGCTGTCAGCGGGAACTTGTCCCAACACAGCGATGAGCAATCATTAGGTCAAAGCTCTTGCAAAACCCACAAGGAAGACATAAAGACGAAACGGATGACCGCGCGGAGTGGCGGTTGGCTCTTCGCCATATCTGCGTCTGGATGCATTGTCCACCTGGACGAATTCATGGGGGCTGAGAGCATCACCCAACGCTACATGTTTGTGGCACGCTGCTGCGACATGCTCCCTGGCCTCGAAGTCCCGGTTCACGACGACGCCTGCCACCTGTGCCGGTTCGCGCTCCTCAGAGACGGCCAGAGCGACATGGCAACGAATATCGCCAAGCTGCGCTACATCACCGATCCCTTCCACTCCAAGGGGCACGTCTGGAACTGGTGTTTGGAGAACTGCGCGCCGACTTTGCCCGGCAACGCCGCGCGGCTGGCTGGCGTCGATGCCAATGCGTGTGAGCATCGATTTCGCGACCTCGGGCGCTACAGGGAGAACGTCAACGCCATGGGGAAGGAGTTCGCACGTTTCTTCTTGACAGAAATGATGGATTTTCGAAACGTAGATTGGCTCCGACGCGTGAGATCAGCTCCGTAGACATGTTTCACTTGTCCTTGATTTTCCCAGATATGCACTCATGCGCCGATACCTGGTAGCATTCGGCCGCATTCTATATGCATACTCCCGGGGGGGACGGCCAGGGCCCTCAAGGGCGAATGCCCCATGCTTCCCGCATCCTCACCAGCCCACCCAGAAACGAAGCTTATCCAGAAGAGGCCCGCCGGATGCCCCCAAGACGCCCCCAGTGCACTCTGGCTGCGTCTCTCTCGCTTGCCTTTGCGCGGGCTCTTGCGCGGGCGCTGTCCGTTCGGATCGGCGAACACCCTTCGGGGGATAATTAGGTTGGGGTGTGGGAAGGGGGCCAATTGGAGTTCAAGCATCGCATGGCACCTCATAGCATAGCATCGCGTAGCATCGCATAGAATAGCATCGCATAGCATAGCGTTGCTTGGCATAGCGCAGCATAGCATTGCACAGCAGCATATAAACACCAGGGGACACCCCCCCGGACACCCGCGGGACAATCGCGGGCCACCGCGGGACACCGCGATACACCACGGGAAACCCACGGGACACGCGCGGGACACCTGCGGGGCATCGCCGGCCAGCCGTGGGGGGGCAATATTCAGCCCAGCATTCCTCTCGCCAGCCCAAGCGGCCTCGACTCGCCCGCACACACGACACGAACACGACACCGATGCCGATTTCCCGGTGGGGGGCTTTCCGTTCCACGCGATTTTTCCCCAACCTCCAATCATGCCGCATCGTTTCAGGGCTCTTTTCAATGACGTGTGCGAGTTTGCACCCACCTTTTACTACTCCTTTTCACGCTGCGGCGCTGCCTTGCGGCGCTGGTGCGCAGTCATCCGAGTTAGGGTCACCCACTCTTGCTGTCGAGGAAAAACCATTGACAGAAGGGCCCTCCCCCTGCCCTCATTCCCTCCCCAAGCCCACCCCCGGGAGCGCGTCGCTGGCGACGACACCGTCGTCGTCGTCGCCGTCGTCGCCTTTGTGGTTTCCGTCATCTTTGTCGTCGTCGTCGTCGTCGTGGTCGTCGTCGTCGTCGTGGTCGGAATCGTTGTCCAACCATTCTCGTCGCCACGGCTGGGCGTGGCTCGGCAGGTTGGCCAGCATTAACACTACGAGGTTGTCCTGCGGAGCGTTTCTCGGCGGAGTCGCACGCGTTCTAAAGAGGAGAAGCCCCAGGCAAGGAGGGCACTGAATCGGAGGAGGAGGAGGAGGAGGACGACGAGGAGGAGGAGGAGGGGGAGGAGGAGGATGAATAAGTGAAACAGAAGAACGGACGAGGAGCAGGAGGAGGACGACGACGATGACAAATGTGAGTACGAGGGGGAGGAGGAATAGGAGGAGGAGGAGGAGGAGGAGGAGGCGGAGGAGGAGGAGAAGGAGGAGGAGGAGAAGGAGGTGAAACAGAAGAACGAGGAGCAGGAGGAGGACGACGACAATGACAAACGGGAGAACGAGGAGGAGGAGGAGGAGGAGGAGGAGGAAGAGGAGGAGGAGGAGGAGGAGGAAGAGGAGGAGGAGGACGAAGAGGACGTGGAGGACGAGGAGGACAAGGGGGACGAGGAGGACGAGGAGGACGAATGATGATGACGACGGCGCCGATGGGGATGATGCTGATTGTGACGATTGTGATGATCATGATGATGATAGGGTTGATGATGGTGATGGTGATCTTTCGGAGGGCGACGACGAGGATGGCGGTGAGGATGATGATGCTGATGATGATGATGCTGCTGATAATGATGATGATTCTGATTATGATGCTGCTGCTGCTGCTGATGATGATGCTGATGCTGATGCTGATGCTGATGCTGATGCTGATGATGATGATGATGATGATGATGATGATGATGATGATGATGATGATGATGATGATGATGATGATGATGATGATGATGATGATGCTGATGCTGATGCTGATGCTGATGCTGATGCTGATGCTGATGCTGATGACGGGACTCCTTGGACTCCCCGGACTCCCCGGACTCCCTGGACTCCCCGGACTCCCCCGGACTCCCCGGACTCCCCCGGACTCCCCGGACTCCCCGGACTCCCCGGACTCCCTGGACTCCCCGGACTCCCCAGACCCCCCCGGACTCCCCGGACTCCCCGGACTCCCCGGACTCCCCGGACTCCCCGGACTCCCCGGACTCCCCGGACTCCCCGGACTCCCCGACTCCCCGGACTCCCCGGACTCCCCGGACTCCCCCGGACTCCCCGGACTCCCCGGACTCCCCGGACTCCCCGGACTCCCGGACTCCCTGGACGGGACTCCCCGGACTCCCCGGACTCCCCGGACTCCCCGGACTCCCCGGACTCCCCGGACTCCCCGGACTCCCCGGACTCCCCGGACTCCCCGGCTTCCCCCGGACTCCCCGGACTCCCCGGACTCCCCGGACTCCCCGGACTCCCCGGACTCCCTGGACTCCCCGGACTCCCCGGACTCCCCGGACTCCCCCGGATTCCCCGGACTCCCCGGACTCCCCGGACTCCCCGGACTCCCCGGACTCCCCGGATTCGACCCAGATGCGCACCGCTTTCCCTGACCCCGCGGATCTGCGTGAGGGGTGGCACCGAATTTCAGAAATGTGGCAAATCCCATGTGTTTTTGGACCCTGACCCCGCGGATCTGCGTGAGGGGTGGCACCGAATTTCAGAAATGTGGCAAATCCCCTGTGTTTTTGGACCCTGACCCCGCGGATCTGCGTGAGGGGTGGCACCGAATTTCAGAAATGTGGCAAATCCCCTGTGTTTTTGGACCCTGACCCCGCGGATCTGCGTGAGGGGTGGCACCGAATTTCAGAAATGTGGGAAATCCCTGTGTTTTTGTGACCCCCACCCTGACCCCGCCGATCTGCGTGAGGGGTGTGGATTTCGAGCCCCCCCAGCAATTCAGACAACGCGCCCAGGGGGTGCTAAAAAATCCTGTTTGGGCCTCCCCCCCCCTCGCGCGGTCAATCAACTAGTTACAGTAACCAGCAATCAGTCAACTAGTTACAGTAACCAGCAAGAAGCAGAACTGTAACACTGGAAACTACAAACTACAACTGGTACAGGAAACTGCGAATCACGCGCCTCGCAGCCTGGTGGCCCCACAAGGGGGCCGGCGGATATATATACATATATATATATATACATACATACATACATACATACATACATACATACATACATACATACATACATACCTATATATATATATACACATACATGTATATATATATATATATATGTATATATACACATACATATGTCCGTATGCGCCGTCTGCCGGGGTCCTCGAAGATCGATTCCCAAAGCGATGGTCGTGGACAAATCCCCGCCTCGCACAGGACGAGGGCGTCGACCTCGTCATGCTCGTGGGCTACATGAGGATCGTCAGCCCAGAGTTCTGCAGGGCTTGGGCCCGGCGGTGCATCAACATTCATCCCATCTGCGAAGAAGAAAGAGCGGCACGAGCATAACTTTCCGCTAAGGAGGTAAGCCTGGGCTCGTTCAAATAGTGCGAAAACGTTCAGACCAGAAATAGAAAGTGGAAAAGTGGAAAAGTACAAACCTCCATTGGAAAAGTGGAAAAACACGACACACATGGAAAAGTGGAAAAGTGGAAAAGTTGAAAAGTGTAACGACAGTTAGAAAAGTGGAAAAGTGGAAAAGTAGAAAAGTAGAACAAAAACAATAGAGCAAATGGAAAAGTGGAAAAGTGGAAGAGTCCGAGCAAATTTCAGAAAAACAGAAAAGTAGAAAAGTGGAAAAGTAGAAGAGTGGAAAAGTGGAAAAGCAAGGAACCCCTAAGACACAATGCTAACTTTTCCACTTTTCCACTTTTCCACTTTGTTATTTTTCTGTTCCACTTTTCCAGTTTCCACTTCTCCAAGACGGCCCAAGCTCGGCTCAAGGCGTCCACCGGGAGCCCCCCTGGATGCGCTTCGCAAGGGATCTTGCATTGACACAAATTCTTCGCCTTGACGGCTCTTGGACGGCCTAACTCGGGGAGGGCCTCCAGGGGGCCCAAGACGCTCCCAGCCTGCTCCAAGGCGGCCCAAGATCGGCTCCAGACGGCCACAAAAGGCTCCCCGTATGCTCCAAAGACCCCCCGAACGCTCCGAGACCTTGTTTGCGTCAAGATTTCCATTGACACAAATTCTTCGGCTCGACGGCTTTTGGACGGCGTGGCGCCTGTTTGCGTCAAGATTTCCATTGACACAAATTCTTCGGCTCGACGGCTCTTGGACGGCGTGGCGCCAGGGGAGGAGGCTGCCGCCGGCACCCCTCGCGCCGCCGCCGCCGCCGTCGCCGCCGCCGTCGCCGCCGCCACCGCCGCCCCAGCTTCCTCAGCTTTCTCCAGCTCCTCCTCCTCCTCCTCCTCTTCCTCCTCCTCCTCCTCCTCATCCTCCTCCTCCTCCTCCTGAGCTTCGTGCCCTCCTCCTCCTCCTCCTCCTCCTCCTCCTCCTCCTCCTCCCCCTCCTCTCGTCCAGCTGTCTCCTCCGCCTCCTCCTCAAGCTTTCTCCAGTTTTCTCGTCCTCAGGAGGAGGAGGAGGAGGAGGAGGAGGAGGAGGAGGAGGAGGAGGAGGACGACGACGACGACGACGACGACGAGGACGAGGACGACAGCGGGCTCGGCAGGGCGAGGCTTTCCAGGTCCCCCAGGTCCTCCTCCAGGTCCTCCCCCAAGCCGACAGGTCCCCCAGGTTCTCCTCCAACTTTCTCCAGGTTACTTCTCCTCCTCCTCCTCCTCCTCCTCCCGCTTTCTCCAGCTTTCTTCTCCTCCTCCTCCTCCTCCTCCTCTTCCTCAAACTTCTTCAGCTTTCTCCAGCTTTCCCCTTCTCCAGCATTCTCCTCCTCCTCCTCCTCTTCCTCTTCCTCGTCCATCCTACCTTCTCGTCCTCCTCCCTCATCGTCTTCCCTCCTCCCTCCTCCGCCTCCCTCTCTCCGGGCGTCGGTCCTCAATCGATCTTCGATAATCGATCGATTCTGGCGATCCTCGATCCCCGATCTAAACTCGATCCTCGATCCTCGAACGACCCTGGATCCTCGATCCTCCATCCAGTTTCGATCCTCGATCCTCGATCGAACTCTGATCTTCGATCGGAGCTAGCGAAAGTCAATCCTCGATCATCGATCTGCGATCCGCGATCCTCGATCGAACCTGGATCTTCGATCGATCAATGATCCTCGATATTCGATGGAACCTCCTACCTCGAGTGCTCGGCAGTTCTCGATCCAGTATCCTCGACTCTGGATCGTCGATCCTCGTTCCAATGTCCACCCTCCATCCTCGATCTTTGATGTTCGGTCCTCAATCGAGCCTCCATCCTCGATCGATCCTCAATGAAACCTCGATCCTCGAGCGTCGATCCAAAGTCAGTACTTGATCCTCTACCTGTTTCGAACCTCGACCGTCGAGAATCGAGGATCGAGGATCCAGGATCGACGCATCAGAGGCTGCCACGACGCTCCCAAGCAAGGCGGCCCAAGAGCCCACGAGAACCCAAAGACCCCGAAGACGGCACTTCTTGCTTCTGCTCTTCCATTATTTCATTTTTCAACTTGATCTTTTCCTGCCTAATTGTTTCTGCTTTTCCCATTTTCCGCTTCTCCACTTTTCTGACTATCCTATGCGCTGTTCCGCTTTCCCACTTTTCCGCTTTTCCGTTCCCTTCGTTGGTTTTCTGCGTTTCCGCTTTTCCACTTTTCCATTTTTCTGATATCCTATCAGCTTTTCCGCTTTTCCACTTTTCCACTCTTCCGTTCCCTTCTCCGTTTTTCCGCTTTTCCGCTTTTCCACTTTTCCATTTTTCCATTTCTGGTGCGGGCGTTTTCGCGCTAATCGGACGAGCCCGGGCGCTTTTCCACAGACTTTCCGGAGGTCCGCGCGGATCCCCTGGATCCGCGCTGGGCACGCGCCAGGGGCGGCGCTGGAGGCGCCGCCAGGGGGGTCAAGCGCCGATGCAAGGAATCCGCGAGGAGCTCCGAAAATCTAGCGCCGATCTATACATGTGTTACCTGTTCCGTTCTTTGCTCTTCCGCCAGCCTGCTGCCAAAGCACGCCGGTGGCATGGATCTCGAGGTTCACACGGCCGTGCTGGATGCGAAAGAGACGGAGAGCGGATGCACAGTGCACCTCGTCACAGAGGAGGTCGACGGTGGCCCCGTGGTCGTGCAGAGGGTTGTCCCCGTTGTGGCCGACGACACGCCGGAGTCTCTCAAGGCAAAGGTCCAGGCCGAGGATCGAGCGCGAAAGAAGTGCACATTCGCACAGCGAGCACGGAGGAGGAGGAGGAGGAAGAGGACGAGGAGGAGGAGGAGGAGGAGGAGGAGGAGGGGGAGGAAGAGGATGAGGAGGAAGAGGAGGCTCTCCGCCCTCAGGGGCTCTTCGTTTCGGGCCCTCCGCCCTGGAGTGCTTTTCTACTCTGGCGTGCCCAATGAGACCTTGGGCCTTCGGCGAAGGGGCTCATGTTCGCTTCCGGAGGCTCCGCGCACATTCCTTGGACTCGAGTTCTTGTGCCTTTCGTGACTCGAGTTCTTGTGCCTTTCGTGACTCGAGTTCGGAGGCTCCGGAGCCTTCGTGACTCGAGTTCTTGTGCCCATGTGTTCGCTTCCGGAGGCTCCGCGCACATTTCTTGGATCGTGGCCAGACCCCCTCTGCGGCGCCCTGGGCACCGCACCTGGCGCGCTCCGCGTTCCAGGGAGGGACGGGTCGGACGAAAGGGTGTGCGTGTGTGTTTGCGAGTGGCGACAAGCGCGGGTCTGAAGACAGCCGAACTCCCCCACATCCGCCGACCCCCGAACCGGAGAATGCAGTCGGAATTCTGCCGATCCCCCTCTCCCCGTTCGTCCGGCCGTACGAAAAGGAGGGGGGATGGGAAATGGCAGGGTTACGAAATCGGCTGCACGCATCTGGTTTCGGCCCTGCCGCTCTCCTCGATGCCAGGTGGCGCCAGGAAGACCAGCCGCGTAAGCTCATTCGTTGACCCCTCCTGTTATCCCCCCCCCTCTCGTCACACCGTAAAGGGGGGGGGGCCCAGCGCCGATCCAAGAAAGCCGCGCGGCCCTCGGACTGGTTACTGCCCGTGTCGTCCCTCCGTCTGCAGGAGGGGCCTGCGCTGGTGGATGCCGTGCGCGCCTTCGGCGAGGGCAGGGCGCCCTTCCTCAGGTGACCCGCAGCTGGCGGCGCTTCTCCCGCTGCCCCTGCTTCTCCTGCCCCGGCATCGCGGGTGCCCCATCGGAGGGGCTCGAGGTATGCACCACTTCGTTTGGGCGCCCAGGTGAGCCAAGGAAGTCGGCGACGGGATTCGGTGCACGGACGCTTCAGCTTCCCTCGGGTTGGGAAGCCGGGGCGTCAGTAGACCGAGGTCCTCGGCCGACCAGACGACTCGTTGTGTGCTGTCTCTTTCGAGTCCTTCCCCCAGCAGACAGCGGCTGAGGACTTCTCAGGGCGTCGGGCATGGCAGGCGGGACCAGATCTCCTGCTTGGTCAAGACGAGCGCGCAGCGCGCAGCGCTAGCCTAGCGGACCAAGGTCACAAAACTGGCAGACTTGCAGTTTTTTTTTAATCGTCCTGCCCCGTTGGCCAAAGGCCTGGTTAACTCTTGACTCCCTCTAGGATGCATGTAGGTCTGTCGCAGCTTAACGCTTCAACCTCCTGCGCCAATGTGTGAGGGTAAGTGGAACATGCAGCAAGGTGGGAACCAATAGCCGCCTCAAGTGAGCTGGTTCCAGACCGTGTGCGATTCGTCTTCCAGTTGTGCGTTCGGAGTGAAAGAGTGTCTCATCTGGCTTGTCATCGTAGCTGCAGCGTCGTCCTCGCATGATTTCGGTGTTCAGGTAGGTATCACGCGCAAGCGCAAGCATCACGAAGCTGAGCCTCGTTCGCCGAGAGAAGGAGGGAAGAAGGAAGGAAAGCCTGTGGAGAAGGGATGTGGAGAAGCGGGAACCATCAGGGGTGCGACGTGCGATGGGGTAGACGATAAGGAGGACAAAGTGAATCTTGAGGACCACGAGGTCGTTGGAGGGAGGACGAGGCGAAGGACGAAGGAGGAGGATCATGGAGGAGGTAGGAAGCTGATATTGTGAAGGTGGGGAATGAGGAGGAGGAGGAGGAGAAGGACGCAGAGGGAACGAGGCGGATTCAGCGAGGGATGACAATGCCAAGCAGGATGAACATTTTGTTGACGATGATGCTGCTGTCTACGATGATCAGGATGATGAGAATGATTGTTGTTGATGGTCATGATGTGGATGATGTCCTCAGTCAGCGATGGATCCACATACGACCAGCTCGCACCAATTGTCTACCACGCTGATCGCCACGGTCAAACATCAAGAGAATCGCCTCACCCGCAGCGCTCAAAACCAGGAAGTGAGATGGTCAGGATGATTATGATGAGGACGTGGACATCACGGAGAAGGAGCAGGATGTGATGGAAGGACGTGCGGAGGAGCAGGACGTGCATGTCCGTTTTGGATAAGCGACCTGGGATGCAGCAGCAGCGCGTGCACAGCAATGACGAAGACGGCGAAATGGAGAAGGAGGAGGACAAGATGGAGGACGCCGTGGCGAATGACAATGATGGTCCAGGAGGGCGGGGCCCTCCGATCTCCCCGTGGAGAACCCGAGGAGGATGCCGACAGCAGGTGCCCGAGGCCCTGCCAGTGCAAGACGGCAGAGCACGGCGACACCTGCGACAGCGCCATAAGCTGGGTGATGAAGGCCCTCTGGCGGCCCTCCTGCTCCTCCCCCTTCCCCCTCCCCTTCCCCCTCCCCCTCCTCCTCCCCTCCCCTCCTCCTCCTCCTCCTCCTCCTCCTCCTCCTCCTCCTCCTCCTCCTCCTCCTCCTCCTCCTCCTCCTCCTCCTCCTCCTCCTCCTCCCGCGCTCCCCCCCTCCCTGGCGGACTCCTCGGCGGCCCTTGGTCGGCCCTTGTGCGGCCCTCGGGCGGCCCTTCGGCAGCCCCTCGGCTGCACTTCGACGGCCTCTCCGGCGGCCCTTCGGCAGCTCTTTCGGCGGCCCTGCGGCGGCCCGTGCTGGCCCTCGGCGGCCCTTCGGCGCCTGTCGGCGGCCGCTCGTCGGCCCTTCGACGGCCCTTCGGGGGCCCCTCTGGCGGCGCTTCGGCGACCCTTTGTCGGCCCCTCGGCGGACCTCGCCAGCCCTTCGGCGATCTTTCGGCGGCGCTTCGTCGGCCCCTCGGCGGCTCCTCGGCGGCCACTCTGGCAGCGCCTGCTGCGGCTTCGGCCTTGTTGGCCGAGCATGTGCGGAGGTCGCCGTCGTCGTCATTGTCATCGTCGTCGTCCTCCTCCTCCTCCTCATCCTCATCCTCATCCTCCTCTTCTCTACGCCGGGCTCCTCCTCCTCCTCCTCCCCTCCTCCTCCTCCTGGCCCAGATCCAATTCCCGTTCCTCGCGGCTGTCGGCCCGCAGTTTGTCTCAGACCCCTCCTGGTTCAGTGCGCCACCGTGACGATCGAGGTGACAAAGATCGTTCTCGTGAGCGTCAAATATCGCGTGATGGCCCTGGCCTTAGTCAAGGTGCTTCCAGCGGTGCTCATGGCTCTGGGGGTCCTGCTGATGGCGATCTCTCTGATGTGGGCTGGTCTGGACCTTTCAGCGCTGAGGCCGCTGCCATGGAGAAGGACGGCAGCCTCGGCGAGATGGGTGCGACCCCGACGTTGTTTGTCACACATGTCCGCGCTTCCGAAGAGTCCGATTGCAGGCGTGGCGGCACCCCCTCAATCCCGCCCTGATCTTTGGATGCAGGGATCGTTCGACGCCATCACAGACTCGGCCATCCAAGAGTTTACCGCAGCATTTTGGGAGTCTCTCAAGTCCACTTTCCAGCAGGCGCTCAAAGATGCCGCGGGCCCCCAATTCTCGAAGTTGGGGCAGCAGCTTATGGAACGTAGTGATAAAGTCAAGCAAATTATGGCCAGTATGGAAGATAGGATGTAGGCGAACGAAGGAGTAGTCGCCAGGATTGAGCGCCGTCTTCAACAACTGGAACAATCACTGGACTTGGCAAAGCAGAGGCCGCAGTCAAAGCCTGTACGTAGTGCCGATTCGGATCGCGACCCTGACCATACCATTATTCCTGACCGTTCCCCCGAGCCTGTTGCCAAGTCCGCTGTGCTCGAATCGCTCAACCCTTGGCCGCGCGACGTCGAGTACAGTGAGAACTCCGAGTGCACTCTCATTGGTGAGAACTTGGACAAGGTCTTCACCATCGCTTTCATTGGACCAATGGCTGCCGCAAAAGAATCGCGTCGCAAGCACGCCCAGGCTGGTCTCAAGACTGCAGCTGGTTGGCGAAACTTCGTTGTATCCAGCCCTGCCGGTAGGCAGGTCTCCCTGTGCGTCGGCGCGGACAAGAGCCGCAAGGTTGTCGCGCAGGAGGTCGCCCGCAAGAAGCTCAACCGCTCGTTGGAGGATGAGTTGCAGCTGCGGGTCTTCATCGATCTGGAGGGCGGCCAGTTGCTCTCAGGGCGGGGCCCGCCTGCTCGCACCCTTGTCGCTCCCCTCGCCACCCCCGCGGTCGAGTGGAACGCGGCGGCGCCGGGAGATCTCGGCGCATCGAAGTCTGCATTGGTCCAGCTGGCGGGGCGTGTCTTCTTTGAGCGGGTGGCCCAGTGGTCTGGGTAACACGTTCTTCGGTCTTGTGCAGGTCAGATATGTTCAGGAGGGAAAGAAACACACAGACACAATGAATCGTCGATTTCCAGGAAAACGTGCCCAAATATGGGAAGTGGGGGGGAGGACAAAAGCCAAAAAAACACAGGAACATATGGGGAATCTTTTCATGTGTATGTACTCCAGATTTCGTTATAAAAGGGAGGGGGTCTGGACCCTCCATCACAAGCCATTTCAGACCCCCCCTCGTGGGAGAACCCTCCAAAACATCGTCCCCAGACAACCCCAGGCCCTCCAAGATAGCCTGGAAGAGACCCCCCCCGAAATGAGACCCCCCTCCCTTTATTACGAAATCTGGAGTATTTATTTGTGTGTCCCAGGGCCCCTTCATGTGTGGCGTGGCGTGCGGGCGCCGGCCCCCGGGCGGTGGACAGACGAGCCCGGCGCCGCGCGGCAGAGGTCGGGAAGCTCCAGGCCGGGCCGGCGAGAGCGGCCGCGGCGGCAGTGCTGGCGGCAGTGCGGCCGGCCGTGGCGCCGGGGAGAGCGGAAGGAAGAATCGGGGGCGGAAAAGAGGGGGGTGATGACTAGGGTCAGGAGGGGAAAAAACACAGACACAATTAATCGTCGATTCCCCAGAAAATATAGGAACATATGGGAAGTGTGGGGGGAGACAAAAACCCAGAAAGTATTGGAAAATATGGGGAATTGTTTTATTTGTGTGTATTTATTTGTGTGTCCCAGGGCCCCTTCAGGAAGGAAGAATCGGGGGCGGAAAAGAGGGGGGTGATGACTAGGGGGGGGGATATCATGGCGGGGGCCATGATATCTCCCCAGATCTCATGACGCCCCTTCTTATTTCATTACGTCCCCGGCCCCCCCGCCGGGCCGCGCACATGCCGCCGGTCATGATTTGCACCCCCCCCTCTTGGACACCCCCCTCTTGGCCGCTCCCGAAAGAGCAACACAAAACATAAACAAGTTTCGGAGGTCCGCGCGGATTTCTTGGATTGGCGCCTGGGCCCCCCCGTGGTGGCGCCGCCCGCGCGCCAGGATGGTGGGCTCGAAGGCGCAGCCATGTGGACTGTGCCATCCTCAGGGGCTGCGCGCTGTCAATTCACCATTTGGGCGCGGAGATTTCAGTCAGTACTTGTGCCCTCCCTGCGATCCTGACGTCTCAGTTGTTCCGAGCCAGGCGTTTTCGCTTGGCTTCAGGCCTTGGAGCCCGCGCAGACCGATCTGGCTCGAACGAGGGAGTGGAAAGATGAGGTCTGACGACTCTGGTCGCGATGTTTGTGCAATGTTGCATGTTGTTCGCTACGTCGGATCTCAGGGATTCCTTCTCTCAGCGAGCAGGTTCGAGCCGCCCGCGCGCTGTCGTCAAGGAGGTGGGCCCCCCCGCCTTCGTCTGCGGCCGCAGCTCGCGCCAGGTTGCGCCCCCGCCTGCCGATTTACGCAATTGACGCCTTATGTCGGCCCACCTGCGCCGAAGTTCTCAGCGTTGGGCAGACTGAATCATCGAGGTTGGAACGTTCAAGAAGGGCCCTCCTCCTCCTCCTCCTCCTCCTCCTCCTCCTATTCCGCTCTTCTGCGTCCTCCTCCTCATCATCAACAGCACCACCATCATCATCAGCACCACCATCATCATCAGCAGCAGCAGCAGCATCATCAGCATCATCACCACCATCATCATCACCATCATCATCACCAGTATCATCATCATCATCATCATCATCATCATCATCATCATCATCATCATCATCATCATCATCATCATCATCATCATCATCATCATCAGCATCATCATCAGCGTCATCAGCATCAGCATCATCAGCATCATCAGCATCATCATCATCGTCATCGTCATCATCATCATCATCATCATCATCATCATCATCATCATCATCATCATCATCATCATCATCATCATCATCATCATCATCATCATCATCGGCATCGTCCGTTTTTCTGCGTCCTCCTTATCATCCTCTTCCTGACTAAGAGACGGGAAGCGTCAACAGTGCTCGTATCTTATCCTCCTCCTCCTTCTCGCCCTCGCCCTCGCCCTCGCCCTCCCTCCTCCTCGCCCTGCCCCCGTGGGCACCGCGAGGCGCTTCTCCCGCCCCCCCCCTCGGCGCTGGGCCTGTCGGGTGTGGAAAGCTGGTATCCGTTTCCACGCCGTCCTCCTCCCGCCCTCCCCCTCGTTTTCTTTTGTGGATGCTTCTTGGGAGGCCCTCGTCGCTAGGGCTGGAGTCCCCTCA